TGTATACTTTTCTGTCATTTGGTACACGGTCGTTTATCTCTCTCTTCAGATCAGTGGCAGTCTTCATTCTATCCCAAAGGCTGCATAAACAAATACTTAACATAATTATCATCGAGGTGAGGTATTCTGTCTCACTATTTACGGTGTACTTGAGTGTTTGACGAGCATCTCGAGTCTGCAACAATTTCTAGGAGCGTCACGTACACTTATGCGAACTATCTGCTCTACTGACAATTCTCTATGCTTTTGTGGCCCTTGGCATGACAATAAAACTTGCTATAGTGTTAAACACTGATTTATCAAGGTTTATCCGAGTATTATTAAATAGATTCCTGGCATATACCGGTACCATTTGCTAGCTTTCTATATAGTTAAGACACTGCATGGGGTACCACCCCAATTATTTCGGACCCTAAATTTGATCGGTATGTTCATCCAAGCAGAATCCTCATGACATACCCTCTGTAAAAGTATATGGGAATTAGAGAATAGATATTCTCACCATAGCTCAATTGTGAACAGGGATTAATGAACTATTAAAATTTCCATTATGTAAGAGCATGGAAGAATTGGCCCCATAGAATGGAAGATATTCTCTTGTCCTAACAATCTTGCACAGTACTGTAGGTGTTATATTCGAGCTTTATCTTATCTCCTGGCTTCTTTAACAATACGTTTGACTTTTCCCACTCTTATTTTTCTTTGTCTATGTAGAATGGAGCAACCAATTGGACATTATGGTCAAAAGTCGAGTACAGACGGTATTCGGTAAGTTCTTAAATATTAAGTGAAACCTTAAAGTTGTTGCATTTTTATTTTCAAACCTCGCATGAACCCTCTAACAACTTTTTGTAGTTAACATTTCTTTAAACTTTCAAAACTGCAACACGTATTGCACAATTTCAAAGTAGTCTATTTTAAGTTACTTGGAGTGTTACTTTAACTACAATACCAGAGACAAAAAGCTGCTTTTAAGGAACTTTCTTTCGTGACGACTACTGTTTAAAGGCACAACCGCTATCCCAATGATTTTGAGAATTTGCAAGAATTTTAACTTCATATAATTGCTACTATATGGACTTAAACATTGAAGTCGACTAGGATATTTTTTGAAACAAAGCGCTTTTCTTCGCTTTAGTCTTAAACGAACTTTGTTAACAAACTCATCTTAAGCCTGTATTCAAACTCGAAATATCTAGGGAAGAAGACTTTTAACCACATTCATCTAAAAGATCATGCTTATGTGGGAAGATACACGGATGGAGTCGACTTATCTGAACTAGCCAAGATGGCTCTAGACTGGCGTGGTTCTATTCCTCGTAAGTGTATTTAAGTACCGGTTTTATTAACTTTTTATTCTAAAAGTATCATTGAAACAGCGTTTTTCTCCTAGCTCAGTTTCGGACGTATTTCTGAAGACTTATTAATTACAATAAACCTGAGTGGACCGCTACAATATTCTTCTTCTAATGTTACGAAAAATAAGTTTGGATCTTTATAGCATCTTAAATTAAATATAAAATGGTATTTTTTTTATTTTTTTTAAATAAGATTATACCTTTAAAAAAGCCTGTTCACCCAGATATATAGAAAGTGCCACACGTTTCTTACTACAACGAAAATTAATCCTTATCTTAATTTAATAACTTCGCTGTACGGCAACTCAAAACGAAGGTCATTCTGGCATAAACTAAGTTTACGATGATGTTAAATATCTCATTATAAATGTCTGTCTTCCTGTAGCTACCTTTGTAATAAATGGGGATGTAGAAATCAAAGGTCCTTTAGAAGTCCGTGGATTGGTCGATGGAGGTGACCTCGGTAACTTGTATAATGAAGCACTAAGACTAGACACTCGTGAGATGCCTAATTTCTCAACCTTTGTGTTTAAGGAACAAGTTCAGGTATATTTTAATTTCAGTTTGGTTCCACTTTAGGCTCTGTTAGTAGTAAGAGTATTATAAATTTTGGTAAATATACTTAAGTTAGAAAATGGATTACTTGATTTAAACTATTAATTGCTTGCATGTTCTGTTGTTCTAGGTTGGAAATCTACAGAGTCTCGATATAAATGGAATCAATTTCTCTAAGGACGTAGTATTGAAACATGAAGATCAGATAATAAGTGGACATAAGACATTCGAGAAATTAGTATTGAATGCAAACTCTCATGTGAAGGGACTACTTAACGATGTTGACCTTAGCTTCCTAGTGCACGATACTCTCTTTACTTACGGTGATCAAACTATTCCATCTCACAAAGTGATAGAGGGTGACCTGGTTGTTTATGCCTTAGAAGTAAGCGGAAGATTAAACAACATTGATTTGAAGGATGTAGTTCTTCTGCATGAAGACAGTGTTATACATTCCCAGAAGACTTTTTCTAATTTAGTTGTGGAAGATTTGTTACAGGTCACTAGTATAACTGTAGATGGGTTAATTGATGGCATAAAGCTGGAGGAGTTAATAGAAGATACCATGACTTACGAAGGTAAGACGTTAAGTGTAATTAGATGCAAGTGTAAACTTAATTCTAAGACAACCTGACAAAACTATTTAAAACAAATGTGAAGAGTAGTATTTTTAAAGACTAAATAAAAATGGTTGCCGAATCATAAATGGAGTTTAAGCTCTTAACTAAACTTTATTTGTTTCTTCTCTTAACATTCCGTCTTTAATTAGCAACAGCTTTAACACTTTCTAGATCACCAAGTGGTTACTGGTTTAAAAACTGCAGTAGGTGACGTGATTATAGTGGAAGGAAGTAACATACAAACTGACAACTTCTGTGGTGTCGACCTCAGTGAGATTTGGCGTGATGCTGTACTGATTGACAAGCCTCAGACGATAACTGCAGATAAATCGTTTTTGAATAAAATAGAAATTAACAATTTTTGGTTTTATGGAACACTGGATGGCGTTTCGGATTGGGACATGAAAAACAACTGGATGCTTCAGGATGCAGATCAAATAGTTAATGCTAACCTTTACTTCAAAAAAGATGTTAATGTGAAATCTGACGTGTATGTTCACGGGTACGTAAACAATGTGGACATCTTTCAGTTAAATAAAAGTATAGTAAAAGTGGATGAACCGTCTTTCATCATGGGCCATATTACTTTCGAAGACATTGTTATTGCCGAAAGTGACGTCACAGTACTAGGAACTGTTCAAAATATAGACTTGTCAGAAGAAGCTGTCTTGACGAATCGGTACAATGAGATCACTGGTCCTAAGCTCTTCCGAAATGGATTTGTAGTTCATGGTGATCTATGGTCAGAAGGCTATATAGACAACGTATGGATAACAGATTTGTGTAGTAAAATGGTTCTAATACACACTGACCAGGAAATTGCAGGAATGACTACAGTAGTAGGTGATGTAGTGTTTCAGTCAAACCTTAAAGTTGGTGGATTAATTGATAACTTGGATGTCGTTTACTTCAACCAAAGCTGCTGGAAAGTAGATGAAGATGTCTATATCACAGAACCAAAAAGTTTCGAAAAACTAACAATAGAAGGGGTAAGTACAATGTCTTTTTACATGCCAAAATTAAACTGTGGAACGCCTTCTATTACGAAGTTTAATAAATCTTAATGAGTTATTTTTTTTCTTTTGGTGGGTGGGTGTGGGGGGGGGGGCTTAAGTACTTCTGAAACCTAATTGTTAATGAGCCTTGTA